TTACCGCCTCATGTCTTGCCGGTAGGGTATTTTATTAAACAAATGTTGCGAAAGAAGTATTAAAAGTCAGGGTAATTTATGTTTAAGTTAATTTTAATTAATGAAGACTACGTAAGTTATAGCTAAAGTTCGTGCTAGACAGACATGCATAACAGGTTTTTCCATGCACTTCTCAACTTACATAAAAGGTTTGGATGCAGAGTTTATCGGCGTTATGAAAGATCTTACTAGTTTATGCATTCTTGCAATACCAATGATAATAAAATTACATATCATATATTTCGAGTGCCGTTACTATTCATTTTATACAGCAATAAAACAATAATAACAAGAAAAATAATAATAATAACTGCTGCTTTTATTCTAAAACAAGTTGTCATCGTCATTACCCAAAACTGAATGACGCAGAATTTGCACTCAACTGAACATCATCCAATGAACCTTTTTTTTAATAATGCTTATCGCTGAAACTCAGAAATGTGTCGGGAGATGACGTTTAACGACAACGTTTTTGTAAAGACGGAGACAGGAAGCAGGCACGCGGTCTCTTTTCTTCTCGAAAACGAGCTTAACATTTAATTCTGTACAACATAATGGAAATTCCATGAATTAAAGGTAACACATTTGTGGCAAATAAGCGTAATGAATTGAGATTACAGACATTTAACTGACGTACATATTTGTGGTGCTCACTTGGAATAGGTTATTTGAACATGAAAGAGTATCAGTGGAATAGTTTATCATTTGTGTACTTTACAGTCAAATCGACAACACCGTAAGCTGCACTGCATTGTAACATGTAGTAGATCAGAATTTCTCCAAATGACGTAATTTCGATTTGCGTCATATCTGCCAGCCTAAATTCGGAACAGATGTCCCAGCCTCAGCAACATAATGCGATTTTATCAATTCAAAATTACGGTGCGTCTAAAGCTCACTGCTAGTAATTCAATCTTAATATTTTCAAGGTATGACGATTTATAAAAGTTATAAATTGAAGAAAGATTCATCTTTGGAAGTAGCCTGTGAACAGGCTATCTCAAGAGAAAACGCATCTGTGTCACATTCGGATATTGTTATTTTAAAAAAACATTCCGTTTTAATGCCTGATTAATGCAATGCAGTTGATCCAGTGCAATTTTTTTCCCCAGTCCTTCCTAGTTTGCGCAACACACACATTTCATTATATATTAAATCTTAAATAAATTAT